CAAATCTGCCTCCATTTCAGACCATCTGCTCCATTCTAAAGTACACCATCTTCACAGTTCTCTGCAGTTCTGAGCTTTCAATCTGATTTAGGTTTTTTCTTAAATTAGGGAGATAAAATTATATTTTATTGGCATTTTCCGGTTTGTAATGCATTGATTTTCTTATTTGAACCTCAGAACAAGTCTTTGCAGTATGATGAGTATTTTGCCACTGAACGGATGGGAAGCTCAGACTGATTTACCTGCAGTCCCTGGGCTAGTTATGCACTGAACCTCAATCTCATGTCCTTTGGAGCAGTGACCTGCCCATTTCCTTATGCTGTCAAACTATCAAGATTTAATATCTCATTACTTTTCAAAAGACATTTAGAGATATCTCTGTGTTACCCCCAAGGTTATCTGGAGCACAGTGGAAAGGCGATGTAAAAAGGTAAATTAACTTGTCTTCCCATTAGAAAACTAGGATTACTAAAACAAAAACAAAAGTAATCATTAGGACTGTAACTACCTATGTCCTTATATGCACGTCCGTTTACTTTTCCAGAAATAGATGAAGTCGTAGTCTGAGGTCAATTCAACACACATTGAGCACTTTCTTTTGTAATTTACCGTATTAGGCTGATAGTGGTGGGGTGGGAGGGTAAGGGTTCAAACTGAATAACAATGTTGCATGGCAGAAAATGTGACCCGCCTTCAGGAGGAATATGGTATATCTAGATTCTCTAGCAGTCGTGAAGAATGAAGTAGATATATATCTACTAACAATGATCTCCAAGATATATTAGTAAATTAAAAAATGTAATCTGTACAAAGTGAGCCCATTAGTGGGAAAAGCCCATCTGGATGCTTCTATGTGAGAATACATATGCATGTAAATGCATAGAACCAAGATGCACACCCAAAAGCTCATCAAACTCCCATGTGATTATGCCTGGGAGGGAGAGTGAGTATAATTAAATTTGGAAAGAGAGAATTTTCAGTTTTTTAGGACTGTTTGAATTGTCGAAAAGGAAAATGCTTTTATATGTGATTTTATTTATGTGTTATTTTAAAATACGAAATATAGGTAGAGACCTGGATATGGATTTTTCAGGCTGAGGGAGAAAAAAATACGAGCAAAGGCATCAGGATGTTAAAATGGAGGAGTTTGTTAGTATGCAGTTTTTACACAGTGATAATAAGAGAGATGATCGACTGTGGCTTATATAGTCCCAAATTACTTGCTGCAGTTCAGTTAAGGTAATGACATGTTTGAATGGGTTTTTGAGTGAGTTAGGCACATACATCTGTGGAAGCCAAATGGTTTGATGAAGACTTCAGTTGGAAATCTGATTGATTTCACATAGACTCTCCAGTGCCAACAAAGCCAGATGCTGGGTTGTGGTTATTCTTGAAAATTTTTTCTCCCTAAGATTAGGTAATGTTTGTTAGGCAGAGGAGAACGGTGACCAGTTTGTATTTTTGAAAAAAGAAAAGGCACACAGCCATACTGCTGGCTTAAGGTTTGATACCTTGGCCAAAGTGCACGTATTCTGATAAAACTGTTGTCTCCATGTAAAAAGCATTATTTAACCTCCTGCCTGCCTGCTTTGGGTACCATTCTGGGCAGCCTAGATGGCATTTAGACAGACTGAAACACTTTGTCTTATTTTATTTTGCATGAAAAAGAAATGTTATGAGTAATGTGTAAGAGACAGACAGTTGTCCACACTGTGCTGAGGTTCTTAGTTTTATGTTTGAATGTGTTCCATTTTGAAGCACTTATAATGGAAAGCATACTACCTAAGGGTTCCTTTTATGATTTGAGAGCGCACTCATTCTAAGAGCAAGCAAAGTTCTTTCAAACTGAAGTTCTAAAAATTAAGTTTCTCAGTAGTAAGACTTGAGTGAAAAAAATTAATACTAAGGAAAAGATAACTTGCAAGGAGCTCCCACTACAGATGTTTATAGAATGCTATACTTTCTTTGTTGTGCTTGGTGTTCGGAGTCATTTTGGTTTCCATTTTGGGGCTATTTAGTTGGTCTTTGATTAATGAATGAGACCCTTTATTTTCCAGTGGCTCAACTTAATTTTTGGGAAGTGGGAACCAAAGCTTAACATAAATGTTACAGTATGGTATAGTTATAAAAATTTCAAGGTTATTTGAAGAAATATACATCTAAATTAAGGAATATTTTTAGCAGTTGGCTTCAAAAGGTAACAAGTTATGGTCATGATTCTGTTGCCTAAAATAACCAGACCATGTTTTTTTTAGAGCAAAACAAACAGATACTATTACAAAGCTCTGATTTGTATTGTTTCAAGTTTTCCAGAAAGGAGTAAGCACCATTTTTTTTTTTTTTTTTTTACTGTCTCAGCTCTTCTATTACATTTATGTGTGTTTTGAGGTGTGGAGGGGGGCAAAGAGAGAGAGGATCAAGATAGGTCAAAATAAATGGGTTGAGAGACAACTTGTTTCTCTAAGAGACAGAGAATTGCCTTTGTGGATTGTCTGTTCATTTATTCCTGCTAACTCCCACTATCTGGAGAAAGATCTGTAACAGGCATGTTACTCTGTGGCACAATGAAATTATTTGGCAGGATTAATTCATTTCAAATCCATGTGGTTTTCAAGGATCTTGAAAATAAATGTAAGATATTATAGCGATCCATACTTTAACATTTTGATGAAAGGGAAGCATAAAATAATTTAAATACACCCACTATGTAAATGTTTGTAAGTGTTACCAGAAAGTGACATTTTGGATGTTATGAACAGGTGCATAATTATTGACTTGTGTTTTCAAACACTATTTCTCCAAAATAGACTCCATTTAAGAACCAATTTTGAGAAGTGAGTAGTGCTTCATGCATGCCACAAATGGAGAGAAATGACCATATGCAAAGCTAACTAATGATAGTGGCTCACTGATTCTGTGTTCTTATTATCTTCTTGACACTGTGATAAGCTCTTTACTTATATCATCTTCTTTATTTTTCACCACAAACATTTGAGGATGGTATAACTTTCATCTCATTTTTCAGGGAAGGAAATGAAAGTAGTAGGTAGTGAGGCCAAGATTCTTGCTTAGGTGATCTGTTTGTAGAATCCAAGCTCTTAACTATTATAATAAACTGATTCTAAAGCAGTTATGAATATTGGTCTAAAATCAGCCCAGTGGTGTGCTGGAAATGGCTCTTATAGACTCCTGAGAGCCAATTGTTAGATATGGAGGAATTTCATGAGCAGATTTGTAAACTTCGATACTTTGAAATTAGCAATCATTGGAGTATTTACACCACAGAAATGGGCACACACTACAAATCAAGGCTTTTCTTTTTGAGAATTGGTTCACTAGCACACCATTTAATAACAGTTCCCTGCCAGCACTATTTGTCAGAGTATATCTTCCAAACCCTCACATTTTAAATGGATATGAATGAAATAAATACTTTCATTAGCAGATTTTTTTAGTAGCATTTGTCTTGATCTGAGAAATTGTAATTACTGTAGTTAGAACTGAGAAAATTAAATTTAAAAGCATTTATTCCTAAATTTCACAATAGAAGTGAATCTCTTTCCTAGGTTCTTAGTCTTTTATCTGAGAATTTTGGAAATAAAGCCCTTGTTTGACTGACTACACAGTATAAAAGCAGTAGCTATACTCAGATTGGAGAGGTTCCTTTGACTGCTGGCTGAGATAGTCTAAGGAGAAATGGAAAGAAATTGGGCTGGCGGCACAGAAGTCCATGATATGAGGCTAGAGGAATCCAGAGAAGGAAAGTTCATGAAAAAAACAAAGCAAAACAAAACAAAACATGGGTACCGGGAAGGTTTGTGGGGTATGAGTAAGCTTAGTTGCCTGATTATATGCTTCTTTCATCCATAAAATAATTTTAACTTTAATTCTGGAACCCTGGTACTTAATCTTTCCTTGAAACCATAAAGAATTCTTCTCTGCTGATAAGAATCATTCTAATGGTAGTGGTTGAATTTAATAAATACTTAGACATTTTAGACTGTAATTTTGATGCATTGCATCAGGTTATCAAATTTATCCTCCTAATGTTCTTTTTATGAAGAAGACATGCTCTCACTTGCATTTTGTGCTTAATGTGTTTATAATGTTCTTCTATTATGAAAATCCTCTTTTGAGCATCTTCCCATACCCAACTGGATGGCCTAGTGGATCATGCTTTTCAAAAGCAAAAGCATACATGGATGATAATGTATTTGTTCCTGATGGAGAGAGTTCTCTCTGACTCGCCAATCCTTTCTTATCCTGTGTCCTTCGCCTCCTTGGTGGTTACCTTCTGGGATTCTCAGAATTTATGATGTTATTGATTGAAGTGAAAGTTTAAGGGAAGGAAAGAGAAGGGGAAAAGAATGAGAAAATAAAGTAATACACATGCGCAGAGCAGAAATCAAATTACTGTATCCCAACTTAGAGGCCAAATACGATACCAACTTGAGTAAAACAAAGTAATTCTTATCTTTGTGGATAAGGAGAAGCTCGTGTGCATATTTTATACCAATTCAAATTTATATTTGCTTAACTTCAATATTAATTTGAGGCAAGTATTTTTCTGTCCTTTTTATTTTTTTATCAACTGACTGCTTGGTAGGTCAAAGATATCTGGCTTTTTAACCCTGGCTTAAAAATTTTAGTGACTGTGACTTTGGAAAAGTGACCTACCTTCTCTGTTTTCTTGTCCACACAATGATAGTAATAATCCTTACCATAGACAACCATAGGAGTTCTTCATAAAGCTCTGAGTGCAGTGCCTATCAGAGTAGGCACTTGATAAACGGTAGCTATTGTTATCCATAAATTGAAAAATAGATTGTGTGAGCAGTATAGACAATGTATTTTGATGGTTTAGGAGCTCATATTATAGAATTGACAAGTACTCTTACTTTTACTATGAAAGTAACTGAAATATAATAAGGTAAATTGGGTCTGGACACTTGATGATGATGATGATAATGACAATGATGGCTTTCCTTTTTTCTTCACAGAATGTCCCCCCAGACCTCTCCATCTGCACCTTTGTGCTGGAACAGTCCCTCTCCGTCCGGGCCCTGCAGGAGATGCTGGCTAACACAGTGGAGAAGTCAGAAGGGGCAAGTACTTAATTTATGTAGGCTTCCAGTATTTTAATGAACTCAGCTACTTTATGAATGATTTAATTCACAGGTATTGGAGATTTTCTTCTTGCTGAAGTAAGTCAATGCCTTTTACTTGTGGTTTCCTTGTTTGACTTTTTGCTTTCTCCAGCAGACCTATGATGTCTTAAAGAACTTAAAAAAAAAAAAAAAAACCTCAAAGGGATCTGTGTCACTGAACCTCATGCTTATGTCTGCGGTTTAAAACAGAGTCTTTCTTTGAGCATTTGTGTGTTTTCTTACATTTTCAGAGCTGTTATTGTTTTTTTTATTAATTGCTTTATGTTTGACTATTTGTCATTAATCTTTATTTCATTTTCAAATGCCTCTAACCATGTGACTATGTTCTAAGCTTCTTTATGGCAAGTAAAATTTCATGGCACTCATATATTTTAAGTAACAAAATTATGGTGATACAGCTTTAGTCAACTGTAATTTTGTAACCAGCTAATCATTTTCTTCTGAAAATTGAAATTCTTAATCTGTCTCCTAATGACATTTTTCTTTGAAAGCTTATTTGGTAATTTAAATTATTTTCCATGCTATTACTTGCTGTGACTGATTTCTGGGCCACTACCCATTCTTAGCCAATTCATTAAAGTTTATAATTAAGCAGGAAGATGAATGGTCAAATTTTTGTTTCCTGTTTTTATTTTTTGGTACTATAATTACTGCAGTGTATGGTTTAATAAACTATACTATTTCCAGGAATGAAACTGAAAGTTTTCTTTTGCTATTATTGGTCTATCTGTTGCTGTTATTGTTGTTAAACATTGTTCTGGTCTGGATAAGTAACAAGATGAGAAAATGATAAGACACAGTTCCACAGAAAAGGAGTGATCAATTATGACGTAATGTATTTTCATTAGCCTTGTAGTTTTTAAAATTTTAGTATCACACAGCTTAGGAGTTTAACTCATTTGTGCATTAATTCTAAATTAATTTAAAATTTTAATGGTTTACTACTAAGTATGGAGGAGAAACTTTAGTGATTTTTATTTGATATAGATTTAAAGCTTTGGATACAAAAGATCCAAATATATTATATTTTTCAAGTTCATTTGTGGTTACAACAAAGTTTGAAATTACTTTATTAAACTATATAAGGTTTCTTTTAAAATTTCTCTTCTTTTTAGAGTAGGCTTAAATTTAAGAGGAGTAAAACATTTTTCAATTCAACTAGTTTTATTTCTACCTGGAATAACCCCTCCTGATTTTTAAACATCACTGATGCATATCAATTTTGAAAGTCAAATCTGTCTTTACAAAGAAAAGTCATTTTTCTTTTGCAGGAGCATCTAGGAAAATGTGTATTGTCATTTCCCTTATCTTTGTAGATACCAACCTACTGCCAAATTGTCATAAATTTAATTTTTATATTGCTAAGCTGCTTTTTCTAAATTTAACACCTTTGAAAAGATGTTTTATCTCCCAAAAATCATACGGTTGGACTAGAGAAGCTCTAAACTTTCTGCGTATATAAGAAATGTTGGGGAAAAAAAAAGCTAAAAAAAAAAAAGAAAACAACAACAACAACAAAAGAAATGTTGGAAATACTATTTTAAGATTTTTGTTCTTAAGGTATTTATTGGTTAGAATTTCTGGACCCTCCAAGTATTTTTATTTAGCTGAATTACATTTTGAGTTGTTCTTTATCTAGAAGTTTCTGTTAAAGATAAAGTGGTAATTTATGTGATGTGTGGAACACCATTTTATAAAGCCCAGCTTAGCTGCCATAAGACGTTAATTAAAAAATATATAAATTGAGAAAAATCTGCTACAGGTAAAGAAGGTATTTCATTCATTTCATGAATCTCACTTTTAGACAAGTTTAGGAAGAAAACATTGTCAGATAGCTGAAAGGGATACTATATTTTGGGGAAAGAAAGATTCTCTCTTAGACTGCAGAGAAGTTTTGATTATACCCAGGGGTGATATTCAAATATTTAACAACTAGTTTGGGACAGGCATCAATTAATCAGAGTGGACCTCAGCCATAATGCTAGAGGCAAGGTCCTGGAAATATTCGGGGGTGTCCTAGAGGAGCCCTGGGGTAGTCAGTGTCGGGGAACACTTGGGACTTGGGGCCATGACTATTTACCAAGAGGGATAGAAGTTTTCCACTTTAACAACCATCTTAATCATAATATTGCAAACTGGCCAAATAGCTTGTCTGGATTACTCATGATCAATGGTTGCTGCTGGCACTTGTAGGAATCAAATCTCTTGGACTCCATAGATATCCATATCCTCTTTCGTAGTGCCTCATAATGTCTCCTTTGAGTTCATTATGGGACTCTATGGCAAATCCTTTTGTCAAGCAAGTTGTCATCTCCAACTTAATAAATTTTATGCAGTAGATTTGCTTAAAGAAAGATCTACTTTTACTAGGATGAAATGTGTCAGCAGGCTAATGCTCATTTTCATGAAATCATTTCTTTCCTTACAAATAAACCGTTTATCCAATAGAACCCTGTGGATTACCTGATTACCCCACTCTTTCACAATTAACTTTCTTTATGAAGCCTTGATTTTTTAAAAATAATTCTTCCTAAATTTTTTATATAATTCAATAGATTGAATAATACTGATGCTATTTAATGTCCAAAATGCTGTCATATGCACATAGCAATACAAACATACTTGACAATACAAACATAAAGTAAAAAATTTCCATCTAGAGCCATGCCTTTTTTTGTGTGGCTAAGTACCATTTTGCTTGTATTCTTGGGTCCCACTGACTAAATGCATGTTTTTCATAAAACTGCAGGAAATTTCCACCATCATTTGTACCACAGCATATCATGAAAACGATTGATGATAAAATGAGATATGTAAGATGAAACAGGAAAAAATATTACTAATTTATGAAGTTTCAATTCCATAGAGTTGCTTTTTGTGACTGTTAGTAAAATAGGTAATATTTTTGTGGTACAAAAAGCATTCTGAAGGTTTCATCTGAAGGGATTTTTTATGTTTTATTAAAAAAAGGTGTGATAAGACAGAGATCTAGATCGAATATGTATAATTCCATTGAACGTCATTTAGCTTTTATCTTATTCAAAGTGTATCAATATTAAATAGGCCGAGACCTGTTTATCTTTATCTGAGTAGCTGCTCCTGGAGCCTTTAAAGTCCTGAGGGTGGTGACAATAGACGTAAAACAAGGAGGAGACAGTGACTGCAGAAGCAGCACCTGTCCCTTTGGCTGAATTTGATCTGGGCTCCGGTATATGCACGCCCTGCTTCTGTTATTCCTTCTGTTCTCCCCCGAGTTTTATGTGGTTCTGGAAAACTTGTCTGCTTCTGAATCCACCTCTGTCTATCTCTTCTCACTCTTCAGATTTATTTTGCACACTGGTGAGATAGCATGGGGTGAGATAGCATAGGGCTGAACGCAGGGCTGGGCGGTCTTAGCGGACTGTTAGAGTACCAGCTCTAACATGTATTCGCTCTGTGGCTTTAGGGAAGGTGAGTCTTTACCGTCAGGTTTAGTGATTAATAAAGGATGGTGTATGTAGACTATTTAGCGTATATGTAACAGTGGCTATTATTGTTGTTTCACTTATTCTTTCTCTCGTACCTATATACTCCCTTGGTTAGATTGTCACTAATTCCCTGCTGCCCTTTCCTTGACGGCCTTGGCAGCATCCTTCTCTTCTGTCTTGGCTGGTCCAGCCCCCCCTTCCCCTCTCCTTCAATATCCCAACCGTTTCTAGCACGTGGTTCTGCCAGTTTAATGATGACACAATTATGGTAAAATTCAGAGTCAATGATAGCATTTGCTTATTTCTGTGTGTGTTCTAGTTAGTAAAGTTTAATAATTTAGGTGATCCTGTGCTTTTGGCTATTTATTTTATTACACTTTCTTTAATTCACAAACATTTTTCGTGGACACTTTCCCCATACAATTTTATTTATTGTATTTAGGTTTTTTTTTTTTTTTGAGGAAGATTGGCCCTGAACTAGCATCTTCCTCCAACACCTTCCTTGTCAATCTTCCTCGTTTTTTCCTTTTTTCTCCCCAAAGCCCCATTAGATAGTTGTATGTCATAGTTGTGCATCCTTTCAGTTGCTCTATGTGCGACGCTGCCTCAGCATGGCTTGATGAGCGGTGAGTAGGTCCGTGCCTAGGATCAGAGCTGGCAAACTCCGGGCCGCCGAAGCAGAGCACGTGAACTTAACCACTACACCACTGGGCCGGTCCCACAATTTTATTTTTTTAATGTCTAGTTTAATTTAAGGATTCTGTTTCATAGGAGCACAGATACAAAGTGAGAGGTACCAGTATAGTGGAAAGAGCTTTGGTTTTGGAATCCATGAAGTTTATTGAAAATTCTTACTTTTTCAAATAATATTTTAAAAAATTATCATTTGTTGAAAAGGCATTGCTTTTGTTTAATGCCATGAGTATATTAAGTGGCTTACTTGTATAGTCTATTTAGGAGAGGATATTTTAAAATTATAACAGTGACTATCCTTTCTGTCTTTCAGTTTAGTTGTTTCTGAGGGAACTGTGGGACTCTGTCTTTTTTGACTTTGGCTCACGGCCACTTGGCTATTGGTCACTTGTTGGTTAGAGTATTGTAGCTTGAACCAAGAAAAAAAACTAAAATTAAACCAATATTTTCCCCTTACATTCTGCTCTTTGGTGAGGAAGTACGTTGAAATTTATAATTTAGGTGATTGTGATTAGCATCATTCATTCAATTTATGTCATATATTTCCCTCAATATTATAGGTAGTTGGTAGTTTACTATAATTCAAATTATAATTGATGCTTTAAATAGCTATAAAATTCAGAATGTAATACTATAAATATTACTTATGAATAAAAGCATTCAGTTCTAATCATTCATTTACTTAATACAAACTTTTTGAACATTTATAAGATATATTTTACAAGGCTCTGTGGTTAGAAAGATGAATGATAAGTGATTTTTCTCATCAGTGGGTTC